ACATAACATATTAAATTTACTTTTGATTTCTTAATTTTGTTGTATTATTATATTTGTCATCCTTATTAAAAGCGTATTCATAAATGGCCAAACTTAGTAACGAAATAAAAAATTGGATGCCTAAAAAAGTTGAAAACCATGCAAAAGTCTTCATGAAACTGTTTTTGTTGTGATAACCAGAAAGTCCTGTAGATGGAAGCACAACATCAGCTTCATTAAAACCCCAGAAGAAGAAAAGCTATATGAGCATGAGTTTTTTTTTTAACTGTGTGTTTTGTCATATGGAGCCTGCGAGGGGATATGGGAGATTATTTTTCTTTTGCGTTCCCACTCAGTAGTATTGCGTTACGTTGCACTACCTTTTGCGTTCCCTCTTCTTTGTGGCCATGTTCGTCCAAGTTCTGTTGTAGAAACACAGCACATTCCTCTACAGATGCTAGGTCATTAGCTCCAAACACTGCAGCTAACATCATTACACTAAATAAGAGGAATATATTTAAACAAACCTAATCTGTGCAGACGAACTCGGGTTGAAAACAACATCCAGCATTTTATTTTGTTTCCCTCTTTCCTTTAAATGAGACCGTTCTTCTTCACGACCAGGGCCCGTTTTTTGAGAGACAGCAGGCTCTGCTGGAGAGAGCTCGGCCCTGCTGCGTTTTTTCCAGAAAACCCGACATTTCTCCCACCGCTGCTGCTTCCAGTCGTTGTTCATCCTGCTGTAAACATCTCTGTTAGCTTAGCGACCGTTTGCTGACTCTGTGGGTCTTTGTCTGGTCCTGTTGTTTCAGCTGCAMAGGTATAATTTACTCAGCAGCGACGGCAACTGTTTAAGAGAAGAACTGCAGTGAGTGAAGACAGAAAACCATGGTTTTTTAAATTGAATTATTTTTATTACATTTATTAAGAACAACAATCTCAACAAAAAATAGCCCCCGGTGGAGTGACCTTTAACTCCAAGAGGAATTGGAAGGTTTTTGCTGCTATATGCTAGCAAGATGGCCTCRACAATCCAGTGAGAGAGTCTTTGTCTAGAAAGAGCTTGTGTGGGTTAGCAACAGCCACAAACAGCTGATCACGACCTTACATCCTGTGTGCGGCTGTGATGTAAGAACGTAGTGCACATACGGGGCACAGAAAATGCAGCCTCTTTTGCTCCTCAGATGCAAAAAGGGGGAGGATGAAAGCTGGAAAGCTCTATAGACATACAGCTGTAACTAGAAGGTATCACCTTAGGAAGATACGCAGAGTTAGGGTYCAAAACCACTTTAGAGTCATTAGTAGAAAACTGGATACAGGAGGGGTTCACTGACAAAGTATGGAGGTCCCCGACTCGTTTAGCTGTAGCTAAAACCAGAAGCAAAGCAACTTTGTATGACAGAAATTTTAACTCTACAGATTCTAGGGGCTCAAATAGAGGGTCGCAGAGAGCCTCAAGAACCACAGTGAGGTCCCAAGAGGGAATACTGGGTTTAATAGCAGGCCATAGCTTACGAACCCCTTTCAGAAAACACACGGCTAAAGGATAAGCACCGGGTGTGACTTCATCAAAACCTACATGGCAGACAGAAATAGCTGCTAAGCAGACTTTAACACTAATTTGACTAAGGCTGCGCTTTTTTGCGCAGGAGACCTTGGCCTCTAAATCCCCCGCTCCCCTGCTGTGAGCCACATAGTGTCTATTATTATGCTAAAGAGGCGCACGCACACCTAGAGACACACCTAACCCTAATCAC